AATAGTAGTTTTTCTTAATAAAAACATATTCCATAAAAACGTGTTAATACACAAATAAAGGTGCACATGACGAACTTAACATCTTAATTCTATTTTTTTATATAAAAAAGAAACTTAAGTACCGTGCCGTAATAATAATCTTTTATAGACAAGGACAGCGCTGGATATCACAAAATGAATTGTGAAAATGTTGCCACTCTTGATTTTTTTGTCATGCTTCCTTATTCTGTAATTTCATACATTCGAACCAGACCATAGCTGGTAAAACAAGCAACCTAGAGAAACAAACAGATGAGACTGTATGTGTATGTGTTGATCATTAAGACTTCAGAAGATAACGGAATTTTTTAAATCTTCATTTGTGTAAGATGATTGGCACAAAGGACAAAGGATGGGAAGAAGTAGATGGGCTGGGATGGTAGACTGGGATGGTGCTCCGTAGTCGCAAACAAGTGTGAAACATTCTACTGTTTCATAAATTACCATTGTTGATTATTTTGTCATGCCTCTTTATACTGTAATTTTATTGACGCATCTCAACCTTCAAACCAGAACAATACAAGCAACATAGAGGAACAATCAGATAAGACTATTACATTATTAGCTGCCATAATCTAATGTGTTTATCTCTCCCTTGGAGAAGATAATGCACGATTTACACCTAACAAATGTTGCGCAACGAAGAGCATTTTATAAAGCAAAAGGACCAATGTGGTCACGTTAATATTCTGATAAATTTTAAACAAAGATTATGAAGTTACTACACTAAAGCTTACGTAATAACAACAGACTGGTTTTATCTAAAAGTCTAAACGAAAGTTAGTAATTAGTTTTATAGTAATTGCGTAATTTACAACAAACTGCCAGAGTCTGTCCTCAATCCGTCAGAAAATAAACAGAAAGATAATAAATAGAGAGAAAGAATAGATAAAAACAATAATATTTATTTCAAGAAAAATATTTCACATGAGACACAACTTTACAAGTATAGATCTTAACTTAACCTATGGGAATTAACAAAGTGATCAGTTGTGTTTATTTACAACGGTCTGCACTAAGCGTAGCTTGTATCGCAGGGGCCAGACTACGTTTTAATTATTTAGTTTACTGTTTTAGGGCAATCGGTTCTAATACAGTATATAAATTTTACAAAACACTCTCTTTATAAAAAAAAAACTTAATATTAAATTGAAGAGTTTATACAAAATTCTGACTTAAAATTCATAGCTCATACAATGTTACCTGATTGAAAATAGATTGAGTGCGTAGCGATATATCATTCTAATTAAGTACCTCCCATATTACAATAATCAAAGTACCCACAGATTGTAGCATGCCTAATCCTTGTCAATGTGTATTTATTTAGAACATTTATACAAGTTTCATGATCGTTCTTCTTGTAATGAGTCTGAGTTCCGAATGACGGGCAGAATAAAAAACTATGACTATTCAAAAGTGCTTATATTAAGTTTATTTGAATAACGCTTATTTCTATTTCTATTAGTAGGTTTTTTTTATTTGTAACTAGAATAGCAAACGTGCTATCTGATGGTAAATGTCTTATATAGATATGAACAGCATCACAGACGTCAATATATATATTATTTATTATTTCATTGAATTAGTGCTAATCGGTGGTTTGTATTCACACACTTAAACTTAAATTGTAAGTAAGATTAAATTATTTAAAAGAGCAACACACAAGTTTCTTGCCTGTTCTTCTTGTGATGAGACAGCATTCTGAATGAGCGGTAGATTAAAAAAAAAAATGTTATAACTATTCAAAAGTGCTTCAATGTAAGTTTATTTGAATAAATGATTTTCTATTCTATTCTATTCTATTCTATTATATTGTGGTAGCCAAGATTGTGTCATGCATTACCATTCCTCATTATTTAGTGCCTCCTTCACGTGTAATTTTCTGCCATATGCCCCATAGATAGATAGATAAAACTGTTATTACATTAACAACGTTAGATACACACAACTACATTAGACAGTTAACAGTATATAATACTAGCTGAGCCCGCGGTTTCATCCGCATGAAATTAATAGTCTATGTGTTATTCTAATAGCGATATTATTGTAAAGTTTAATCAAAAGTTCAGTAGTTTTTGCGCGACAGAATAACAAAATCCATTCATCTATTCATCCATACTCACAGACTTTCGCGTTTATAATATAGTGAGATTTAATTGATCAGCTCTATGATAAGATGTAGCACGATTTACCACTAAAGTATCGAGTTAATGCATTAAGTAATATATTAAAGGAAAATTACCAATTTAATAGTTAATTGGTTTATAATAATAAAACAATTTTCTTAGTGCGTCATTAATCATTAAATAGTAGCTATGTACCACGGTGTTGCCTACATATAATACGTGTTTAATATTGTACCTTTCTGTAGAGGAATTAATAATACTAATAATATATTTATTTTTTATTTTTCTCCACAAAATCATAAAGTGCTGCAGAGCCTTTGAGGCATGTAAATTTCCATGCAAAAATACAGTTTTGTGGAGAACTGGTGCCTGTACTTGGTATCCGGTGAACCAGTGTCACGGGTCACCAGGTCCTCCCACTAGACCTTTAGGTACATTAGAAGAAGGATACGTTTACTATATTAAATGATACGGAGAAGATTATGTAATGAAAAAACAATATAATTTAGAGATACGTTAAAAATGTAAAAGTATCTAACAGAGAAAGAAAACTTGTATGCCTAATTAATTTTTAAATGATCACGTAAAATTATAATACTAACAATCTTGGACATACAGCTTCATCTAGTCCCAAGTTAGAGCTTATGGGTACTAGACAACTGATATAAATACATCGATATTTTTTGTAAAGATATACATAAAAAACACCTAGACCGAGACGAACAATCATGCTCATGAATACAAATATTTGCATCGTGCGAGGAATCGAACCCGCGACCATCGGAAGTATAGCGGTGTGCTAAACCACTAGACCAACAAGGCCGTCAATGTATGTACCACTTATCTAATACCGATAACACAAGCTTAAGCTTGCTTAACTTGGGTCTAGATGGCGCTGTGTGAATTGTGTTATTATATACATATACTAGCTGTATCCGCGGTTTCACACGCGCTAAATTTTAATAAAAAATATAGCCTGTATGTATTCTGATGCATAACCTACATTACTGTAAACTTTCATCAAAATCCGTTCAGTTGTTTTTGCGTGAAAGACTAACAAACATCCATACTCACAAATTTTCGCGTTTATAATATTCCTAGCTATCCACCCCGGCTTCGCACGGGTGTACATGTATTATATATATAAACCATCCTCTTGAATCACTCTAGTTATTAAAATAACCGTTTCAAAATTCATAATGACGGACAGACAGCGACAGCGACTTTGTTTTATAATAATAATAATAAGAATTTTTGGAAAAAAAAAAAAATAATCTTAGGACAATTCACACAGCGCCATCTAGTCCCAAGTTAAGCTAGCGAAACCTTGTGTTATGGGTACTACACAACTGATATAAATACATAGATTTTTTTTTTCGTAAATACATACATATTATACATAGAAAACACCCAGATCGACACAAACAATTATATTTATGAATAGAAATGTTTGTGCCGTGCGAAGAATCGAACCCGCGACCATTGGACGTAAAGCGGTGTGCTAGACCGCTAGACCACCGAGGTCGTCAATTTTTAGTTAGATTATAATTATCGATTATTGATATGATCGAATTTCGATCATTGAGCGTTAAACGCTCATTAATAAACATTCCAACATACTTTTTTTTTATTTTCGTATTTGTTATCTGTATGCAATAAAATGTTATTATAATATAATTATCACAAGCACAATATTATTATTTTTCATAAGAAGAGTATCGTTTATTGACTTTTTCAAAGATAAGATACATAACAGTTTCTTAAATATTACACGACGGCCCCGGTGGTCTATTAACACACTGTCTCACATCCAATAGTCGCGGGTTCGATTCCTAGCACGATACAGATTTGTATTCATTAATATGATTGTTTGTTCGGATCTGGTATTCGAATTTCACTGTTAAATTTATATCTGGCCCTTGTAGACTAAAATTTTGTATTTAGAAAGTTTCTGAAAATCGAGTCTTCTATTATAGTATAGTCGTTGAATTCACAATCAAGTATTTTCTATGCATATTATAAAATACCGCTGTTTATTTGTCTATAAAAAGGTGTTTAATTATATTTATCAGTCGTTTAGTACTCATAACAAAAACTCTTAGGGAGTAAAATTATTGCTAGCAATGCAGGCTAGTGTCCCTATTACTAACAATGTACCATGTTAGGTCGACCTCCACGTGGTTACCCCTGGAAACCATCATAGTTATGTGCTGGTTAAATAACCAAGATAGTCTGACTGACTTTCTACTTTCTTTATTGCCACAAAAAGAAGATATTAATCCTATTGCGTCACCACACAAAGCGTGCCATTATTGTTCTTAAGTAAATGGATATCAAAATATGATTTCATACAGAATTATGTAACAATATAATTTATGCATTTGACCATTGTAAATGTACAATGTTTTCAAAGAGGTTATCTCAATGCTACAGACAGTCGTTCAGATTTACACGTGCTTATGTATAACTAGCTACACCCACGACTTAGTTCGCGTGGAATTTAACGTTATTTTTCTAAAATAAAAGTAGCCTAAGTTACTCCTTATTACATCAGCTACCTGCCAATAAAAGTCCCGTCAAAATCGGTCCAGCCATTTCAGAGATAAGCCGGAACAAACAGACAGACAGACAAAAATTATAAAAAATGATATTTTGGTATAGGTATGTAGCGTATTTATATTCATATGCATGTAGTAAAAAACGGTTATTTCAATATTACAAACAGACACTCCAATTTTATTTATATGTATAGATATATAGATTATGATATTATGATTCAATGACAAAAGTTGTTTTTTCATTCGCTCAGAGCGTAGTCAGTGATAGCGCTGGCAGCGCCACAGAAGCTTGTTATTTAATTTAACTTAATTAATTTTAGTTTACATTTAGTATTTTAGTTTTAGTGTTTTATTTAACTAAGTGAGTATTTATTTTATTTTTATTATAAAATTAGTTAATTAATAATTATTGTTTGCGTGGAATTTAACGTTATTTTTCTAAAATAAAAGTAGCCTAAGTTACTCCTTATTACATCAGCTAAATAAAAGTAAAATCGTAGATTTCAAGATAAGCAACAAACAGACAGACAGACAAAAATTTAAAAAATTTTTTGGTATAATTTCATATGACATTTCAATATTACAAACAGATAATCGATTTATATGTATAGATATATAATATAATTATGATTCAATGACAATTAAAACTTTATTATTAATACTATAAAATTTTAGTTTACATTTAGTATTTTAGTTTTAGTGTTTTATTTAACTAAGGAATTTATTTTATTTTTATTATAAAATTAGTTAATTAATAATTATTATTGATTATTATAACATTTTATTTTTTTTTTTATTAACATTTGTCAACAAATGTAATTAATTATGTAATTAAAACATTTGACCAGTGTTATTAATTTTTTTTAGTTTTTGTCAACATGTATTTTATGCATTTGACCAGTGTAAATGTACAATGTTTTTAAAGAGTTATCTCAATGGTACAGACAGACGTTCAGATCTACACGTGCTTATGTATTATTATGATATTATGATTCAATGACAAAGTTGCTTTTTCATTCGCTCAGAGCGTAGTCAGTGATAGCGCTGGCAGCGCCACAGAAGCTTGTTATTTAATTTAATTTAATTAATTTTAGTTTACACTTAGTATTTTAGTTTTAGTGTTTTATTTAACTGAGTGAGTATGTATTTTATTTTTTTTATTTATTAATTATTGTTTGCGTAAATTATACTAAATAACAATGTAACGAATGTGATTTTTATAAACACAGCTATAATTAAATTAAATATAACTTTAATGTTAAAGATAAATAAAAAAAAATTTTACGTTCATAACTATGTAAAATATATTACTATAAATTGTATAGTTTTTTTTTACTAAAATAAATAAATAAATAATTAAAACTTAACTATTCCTACGGTACAACAGTACAAAAAATTTGACGTTCATAAGCGACTAAAACGTCTTACTTAAATAAATGTTTTTTTATATTTATATATTAATAAATAATATAATAATCTAAACATAATATCCTCTTGAATCACTCTATTTGTCAAAAAAACCGATTTAAAATCCGTTGCGTAGTTTTAAAGATTTAAGCATACATAGGGTCGGACAGAGAGCGACAGCGATTTTGTTTTATACTATTAATGATTATTTTTGTATTTGTAAACATTTTTTTTACAAACAACAAAAACATGTATCATATAATAAATATATATTTATGTATATATTTATTATAAGATAACCCCTCAAATCCATACCCGTGGTATTCGATACAAGGATAATTAGTCGCATTGTATTTGTAAATCTATTTAAATACATTTAACACTAAATTTTAACTGAAACTTACGTACACAAAAGAAATTAATGACAAATAGGCAAAAATTCTGATAGGTAATCATTGTTTTCAGTTCTGTTAAGTTGATAAAGATCCCTCTATGTATAGAGAGTAAATTATTATAATAAAGAATAAAATAAAAAAATATTCATGTACCTCTGTTTGTAAATATATACAGACAGCGATCAATTACAGGTTTATTATATTCATACAACGTCACAAAAAAAAATATAGTATTTAACTTAGATACTTTTTTTAATGTACGTCCATAATATACATAAAAATAACCAGACCGATTCAAAACAATCATACCCATGAATACAAATGTTTGTACTGTGTGAGGAATTAAACCCGAGACCATCAGAAGTACAGCAGTGTGCTAAAACGCTGGACCACCGAGGTCTTATAACTATATTCAATTAAATTTAATACTCTATTTGAAAATGGGTACAAATTTGTTGTTATGATCAAATATTTAATACACTATATTTTACATACTTATACAAATCCTCCAAAGCAATGGTGAATTAGACAGGGCCATAAAGCATAGAATTAACGCAGGATGGATGAAGTGGCGGCAGGTTACGGCAACGACGTGTGACTCGCGTGTTCCCCTTAAGCTTAAGAGGAAAATTACAAGACCATGATCTGGCCTGCTGTCTTGTATGGATCAGAGTCCTGGCCCGTAAAGGCGACGGATGAGAGACGACTGCATGCAACTGAAATGAGAATGTTGAGGTGGATGTGTGGTGTGACAAGAATGGATAAGATAAAGAATGAATACATTAGAGGAAGTATGAAAGTGGCGCCGGTGTCAGAGAGGTTGAAGAGTAATCGTCTATCATAGTATGGACATGTAATGCGTAGGAACGAGGATAATATTTTAAGAAAGGTGTTACATATGAATGTGGCTGGTTGTAAGGGCAGAGGAAGGCCGAAAAAGAGATGGATGGACTGTGTGAAAGATGATATGGTAAGAAAGGAAGTAAATAACGCGATGACTGCGAACAGGGATGAATGGAAGCGAAAAACATATTACGCCGAACACAAATAAATGGGATAAGGAAGAAGCAGATGATGATAATTTTAAATATTTATACATGTATATATATGAAATATATTATATTTCATACATCGCCATCTAGACCCAAGTTAAGCTAGCTAAAACAAGTATTACGAGTACTAGATCCTTGATACAAATACATATATATATATTTCTCCATATTATACATAAATATGATATACACACATAGTTTTTTTTTTTACATTTAAACTTGAAATTTTTTTAATCCAATCATATGAATCTCTATGCTCTATGGTTTACTGGGAGAAAATGTCTCAAGCTGTTAAATCCTCTATGGGCACCTTTATTTGTGTATATATGTATTGATATTTTAATAAATAAATAAATAGTATATGTGTATGTATGATAACAAATTATAGATGCGTAAATGCAACTGAAATACAAAACATATCTGTTTTGTCATTGATATTATTATGACAGGGATTCAGTAAGAATATGTAAAGAGAATTTTTGAAATACATATACATGTTTAATAACGTACATAATTTACATAGAAAACACTCGGACCAATATATATATAATCATAATAATGTTTGTACCGTACGAAGAATCGAACCAGCGACCATCGGAAAAGTAAAGCGTGAGAAACTGCTCGACCACGGAGGACGTTTGCCGTGTTATAGTTAGAAATAGCAGTGTATGTTGACGGCCTCGGTGGTCCATTGGTTTAGCACACCGCCTTACTTCCATAGGTCGCGGGTGCGATTCCTCGCACGGCACAAACATATTATATTCGTCATTATAATAGTTTATATTAGTTTGAGTGTTTCCTATATAATCTAGTACCCATAACACAAGCTTTACCTAGCTTAACTTGGGACTAGATGACGCTGTGTGAATTGTCCTGAGATTATTATTATTACTATCGTCTCACTCTCTCAACTTTTGCAGGTTTTTTTCACACTTATGGGCTGAACGGTGTGTGTGTGTATATGTGTGTGTGTGTGTGTGTGTGTCTGTGTGTTATTATTATTATTATGTAGGACACCACGGCATCATATTTAGACATTGATGAACAGCACTGTCAACATATGAAGCCCGTGTACGTAAAAACAACGATTACCACTTACCATCAGTTTGTATATTATAGTTAATTAAAAATAATCATAAATAATCGAAAATTCTACATTGTTTGAGTTGATATTGACTATCAGAAATGTGCCAAATTATATTTCGGACTGACTCTCACTTAATGGAAGCGTAGTTAACAAGCAAATCAGTCCTATTGACGGCGTATGGGTTTCTTTTACTAGCTTTTTCTAATATCCGTTAAACATAAGACATGCACACTTTCTCGTTAATAATATCAGTATTTATAGGATCCTATTATGTACTAGCTGTACCCGCTACTTCGTCCGCGTGGAATTTAACTTTATTTATCTAAAATAAAAGTAGCCTAAGTTACTCCTTATTACATCAGCTATCTGCCAAAAACAATCGCGTCAAAATCGTGTTCTTCATGTTCATCTTTACCATCCGCCGCTTTATCATAGACACCAGTGGCGAATGATGAAACCGTCAGCGCAGTGGGGCACCATTTCATTATTATACATAAAAAAAATGTATATATAGTTTTACAATCTTAGTTACATACACTTTGTGAAGCCGAGGTGGGTCGCTAGTGCATGAGGAAGGAAAACGGATAAAACATTTCGTTTGCTGCATACATAAATTATTCTAGATCTAGAAATAGATTTTATCGGAAAATGCAACTTTTGTACTGCATTTTCCTTGTACTCCAACTATATAATTACAGATAATATGTTACAAAATAATTTTCTAAAAGTTTTCCTTGTAGAAAATTTATCATCTATACATATAAATAAAATTGGAGTGTCTGTTTGTAATGTTGAAATAACCGTCTTTTACTACATGCATATGAATATAAATACATAAAAAAGGTTATTTTGGTGTATGTACCCCAAAATAACCTTTTTTATAATTTTTGTCTGTTTGTTCCGGCTAATCTCTGAAATGGCTGGACCGACCGTTTTTGCAGGTACCTGATGTAATAAGGAGTAATTTAGACTAATTTTATTTTAGAAAAATACAGTTATTTGCCACCCGAACGAAGTCGCGGGTACAGCTGGTATTGAATAAATATTTATTCTAGAAGAAAATCTCGAAATTATAATTATTATCCGTTATTGTCAAAGAAATAAGCAGTAAGAATACAATAGAAAATGAATAGCCATCAACAAAGACACTTTAAACTATTTTACTGCATTTAAATTTATTCCTAACCACGCACGGTATATAGCAAAATCATAAAACTAACAGAATTACTAATATTTATTTATTTATTTATTCATTTTCAAACTAAACAACTAAACTAACAAAATAAAATAAAAAATCATTTATTCAAATAAACTTACATTGAAGCACTTTTGAATAGTCATCACATTTTTTTAATCTACCGCTCATTCGGAATGCTGTCTCATCACAAGAAGAACGAACAAGAAACTTGCGTGTTGCTCT